AAAACGACAATACAACGAAAAAAAATATTCAAAAACTGATAGATGACAATATAAAAGAAATAAACGATTTAAATGAAATACTTAATTCACAATCAGCATTTTATTCAAATCTCCATCATACGAAAGGAACCAGTTTTGATGATGTTTACCAGGAATCGTTTTTTAATGATAGAAATCCATTTATCGCTAAATTCACTGATGAGCAAAGCGATTCTATGAATGGCCCACTCAAAGTTTAAGAATGTTTAGAAATAATTGAAAATATGAGTGATGGAAAATGTCCAGGACTAGACGGATTCACAGACGAGTTTTATAAATGTTTTTGATAACATCTTACAGTTTTCTATACCCATTAAGCAATCATTTCAAGATCAGAAAATGTCAATTAGTATTCCGAAACAAGGGAAATCAAAATTGTATTTAAAAAATTGGAGACCCATTACCTTATTGAATATCGACTATGAAATTGGATTTTCTTGTATTGCCAATAAAATCAAACAATTTCTAGTTGATATTATCGGTCCGAGTAAGACGAGTTCTTATGAAGGTACATAGGGGAATGTACTAGGATAATTAGTCGTATTGCTGAAAAACAATATGGCATTTTGTTAATGTTAGATCTTGAAAATAAACCAATTTAGTAGACAGAAAAAAAGCTTCAAACTTGTTCAGTTTCATCTACTTTATATTTATAACTTTATATTAACATATATCCTATTCTTGAAAATAATGGTCACCCTTTTACATTTTTACAAGTAGCACGTGGAGCACGACACAGATATCCTTTATTTATATGTAGTTTTATTATTCGCATTCAATTTTACTTATTGCAGTAATTAAGTATGAGCCTAATGTTAAGATCATACTTTTGAATAATTCTGAAGCCAGTCAGGAGTAAAACGTTAAAACACAAAGATAATGACGTCAGTAGCTAAACGTTAAAACACAAAGATAAAGGCTTCAGTGGCTAAACGTTAAAACAAAAAGATAATGACGTCAGGAGTAAAACATTAAAACACAAAGATAAAGGCGTCAGTAGCTAAACGTTAAAACACAAAGATAAAGGCTTCGGTAGCTAAACGTTAAAACACAAAGATAATGACGTCAGGAGTAAAACGTTAAAACACAAAGATAAAGGCGTCAGTAGCTAAACGTTAAAACACAAAGATAAAGGCTTCAGTGGCTAAACGTTAAAACACAAAGATAATGACGTCAGGAGTAAAACGTTAAAACACAAAGATAAAGGCGTCAGTAGCTAAACGTTAAAACACAAAGATAATGACGTCAGTAGCTAAAAGTTAAAACACAAAGATAATGACGTCAGGAGTAAAACATTAAAAGACAAAGATAAAGGCGTCAGTAGCTAAACGTTAAAACACAAAGATAATGACGTCAGGAGTAAAAAGTTAAAACACAAAGATAAAGGCGTCAGTAGCTAAACGTTAAAACACAAAGATAAAGGCTTCAGGAGTAAACGTTAAAACACAAAGTTAACGGCGTCAGTAGCTAAACGTTAAAACACAAAGATAAAGGCGTCAGTAGCTAAACGTTAAAACACAAAGATAAAGGCTTCAGGAGTAAACGTTAAAACACAAAGATAAAGGCTTCAGTAGCTAAACGTTAAAACACAAAGATAAAGGCTTCAGGAGTAAAACGTTAAAACACAAAGATAAAGGCTTCAGAAGGTTGCAGAAGTTAACGTAAAACCAAGGAGATAAAGGCGCGAGAAGTAATCGTTAAAACCAAGGATATAAAGGCGCGAGAAGTAATCGTTAAAACCAAGGAGATAAAGGCGCAAGGTGTAATCGTTAAAACATTAATACAAATGCTCCAGGAATCTATGAAGCGCCACAGATGTTAACTGTTGTCAGTCTGGAGTATGATCGGATAACATCTTCAATTTTTCTTAAACTACAACGAAACTGAAAGGAAAGGTCAATCGCCGTGCTCACATTTTAACCACTTCGATGATATCAATTAAGAGTAATCTTAAACAGGACACGACTTGTCCAATGTGCAATAAAAGAATATGAATTATGTTCCAAACCCAATTATTTACCAGTGCCGCAAGCCTTAACACTTATTGAGTTAAATGCGTTGTGTAACATGTACTGATGGAATTGATCAAATGAAGGTAGAAAGGAGTGCCGAAAGCGCAAATATATCGCTGAGACATATGCGTATAACGTATTACATAAACAACCGTCGGACGGATGGTAAGACCAGCAAACTGGCCGTCCTCCAGAGATTTAATTGAGATAAGAAATATGAGGGAAACATAGTTCAACTGAATGTTATACAATATTGAAATCATACAAAACTTATAATTTAATATTTTATTTCTAGATTCTTATAAATAAATGCTTGATAGAGAATATCGTTTTCAAAAATTCAGAAGGACCTTATGTTATGTTATAGACCTTTGCAAAGATACCAAACGTTGCGTCAATAAACTAAACTCATCATTGCCAACAGTACGCAATTTTCAGATTGTATTGCAAATGTAACGTGTTAACTTCATACAATAATTAAAAAGTATTTAGTCAACATTTTGGTTAACAATATCAGGATCATAGTACTGTTTTACCTGATATTTTTTGGATAAAAAAAAAAGAAAAGAAAAAAGTATAGATTGTACGATTGCCTTCTTAGAATGGCATATCAGTCAAGGGAAAATAATTAAAAAATGTTTTGTAGACATCAGTATCAATGAAATGTATTAATAGACAGGACAATAACAGAATATGGTAATGATTCCAATTACAAAGGCACTTTTACGTAATGAACAGGTATGCAAGACACGCCTATTGGTCAGTTCAATGTGGGCGTCACCGTACTCTGTATATGAGCTTGAGTAACAGGGTATGTGACATACAGTGAGACGTTACCGGGGCGGAAAAGAGAGAAACGCAAGGATGGTCAACCTAAAACTCCTTCTTTTCGTTACAGGTGTTTTGTGTTTGTCAAATTATGGTGAGTAGTGTACATTTCATCCGCTTTTCATAGGAACATTGTTTTATACAGTTATAACGAATTGGGTATTTACAGATTCTGAGTACCTCAAACAAAAAAGAGGATATTCCTATAATATGTAATAAAGTTAGTGTGAAAGAAAGGTGTCAAATTATACAAAAGACAAACACTAGTGAATATCATTACTCAGCACAAATTTAGATTAGATAAAGTTGAGACAAACAGTGAATGTATCTGCATTAAACAGCTGTTTCGTTCTCCTAAGACTCATCAGTGATGGCCAGGGCGAATTGTTTAACTAAGGAGGCGAATGAAAAAAAAAATCTTATCTGATCGGAAGAATTCTCATAATCGAGATTGGAAGGTGTACTACGTCCATTATTTAGTTAATTTCGTAATATTCATGTACATATAACATAGGAATTAATTACTGCTTCTTACAAATCAAACCTCGGCTGACAAAGCAACATTAATAGACGTTGATGTGTCGCCAATTATCTATATATTTCACCACTGATTAAATTTTGCTTACCAACAATATATTTTGTTCAGATGTTAAAGTTAAACTCGGTTCCTCCTGAGGTATAAGCACATTGATATGAGGCCTGATATTAAGACATATCTCAGCAAGATTGCCGCCAAATATTGATAAGACTTATTTTAGTTTGCCTACAATTGCTGTTAGAACATTACTACAAAACTAAGTGATATTTCAAGTTTTGTGTTTAAAGATTTCGTTGATCTTCGAATCAATACTTGATGCATACACAACGCGTTCGAAATATCATGATAGATCTTAATGTTATGTTACATGCCATTTCAAAGATGGTGTCGAAAAGTTGGCTTTCATGTAATTGTATTGATAATTTTACAATCTCTCTCTAAGAGTAAGTGTAATCGTATTCGCCACAACGAAATTGCTCAGGAATGTATGATATGATCTTTGACGAACAAATACCGACATGATAACAACATTTTTTTAAAACACAATATCGATGATATGAAATATTCAAGGAAAGTAAGGTTTGCACGGAGCACTTGAAAACGTACGAGAAGAATAAGACAGGTGTTTAGTAGGGATAAGGGTACTTCTATGTCATCAACGGCACTCCCCATGCCATTGAAATCTTTGTCAATCCTAATCTCGGAGTAATGTCTCATTTTCTAATGCACACAGTCCAAGACAACACAAGGGATACCTCCGGGCATTAAAACATTAGTATCGTATAAAAATGGAAAACAGAAAAATGGGACAGAGGTCTTGGTGGCTAATACAACCCTCTCTCATAGTTTTCCTCAACCCATCTCAATAGAATCCTGCTTTTAGTTTTGTTGGTTTCTGTGTATGAAAATATCAAGATAAGAGAGTGATATAGAAGTGCCTGTCATGATTTACTTTTGAGATGGGTTGGGTATATGCAACGATCATGATTGACAGATTCCGTTTTATTTCAAGACAATACATTATCAATATATGTTAAAGTGAAGGACTTGGATAGGTCTTTGCTTAGCCTAGCCTTGTAAGTAATGCAAACGAGTCAGTAAGGTGTTGATCGCATAGCTATGGTAACAAACTGTGTGCATTCTTTGTCGGACTTGTTTTTGAGACTGATCATCATTGTTAAACATTCTAATTCCTTGTGCGAAATGGATTTGGATGTGTTTGATGAAGCAGATGACGCTTGCCCCTTACGGAGCACTTGATCTTATTCTTGTTTTTTTTTCAGGGTTCCTATGAAAATTCCTCTTTTGTTCATATTTGTCCCTAGCGTCATCGAAACAGAGTTTAGATTAACATTCTGTCGACACAACAAATTGTAGTTTTTAACCATTAGATTTTTCCATACATGTACTTTCCTTACGCTATAATTCTACCAACTGTTACCTTTCTTCGAAAAAAAAAGTTTAACCAAGACCTAAGAAGTGACTAGATCTGTCGATAATTCCATTTTTGATTAAGTGAAGTCAAGAGTTTATTCAAGTTGTTGTTTTATTTATTATATTCTTGTCATATCATATGTTTACAGCCTCTGGACAACGTCTCGTTTGCTTCTATGATGTGTTAGCGGCTTACCGACCCGGCATAGGTGCATTTATACCTACTGATATCGACTCTAACTTATGTACACACTTGGTATTTGCAAATGCCATGGTTCGGAGTAGTACTCCCGTACTTTACAGACGAAGGGTTACCGATATTTCATAGTAAGTGACGTATTAATGATAAGTTGTGTATAATTGGGTTTAAAAACGTTTAGTTTTCGACTGGTAATGAATAATGTATTGCAAATAAAATGATATAAGTACCATGGCTGAGAACCGATGAGTAAGACACATATACTAAATAATCCAAGTTTTTCAACGTATGTATCTCTTTAACATCTGATGCCATTGGTAACTTGCCATTGATAAACATTGTGACATCAACGCTTCTATGTTAGATTATGGGGAGATAAGTACCGTTAAATACGAGTATATCAAATGATCCATGAGGTCTATTCAGTATGTTTATATATAGTTTTTCTCAAATTGATATTTCCCTAAATGAAAAAAAAAACAACACCTGGATTCTCCCTGAGACCAGATGAAAAATACCATCTTGCTAAATTCAGACTACACTTTAATTAGATTACAGCCGACGGGAGGGATTTCGTTTTTAACTAAAGAATAGACAATGTCTTTAGTAGATTTTTAACGAAAGTACGGACTACGTTTCTTAATAGATTCAGTTATAGCTGACCGGAGTGATTTCAACAGATTCGGTTATAGCCGACAGAAGGGTTTTCGATTTAACTAAAGTATAGAAAATGGTTTTAGTAAACTCGGTTATAGCCGTTAGGAGTGATTTTGTTTTTAACTAAAGTATAGAAAATGGTTTTAGTAAATTCGGTAATAGCCGACAGGAGGGATTAAATGTTGAACTAAGGTATAGACAGTTTTGAGCTTAAGTATAGACCACGGTTTATTTTAGATTCGGTTGTAGGCGAAAGGAGATACTGTGTTTTGAACATAAATGTAGACCACGTTTTTTTTAGATTCGGCTGTAGGCGACAGGAGGGATTATGTTTGGAACACTAAAAACAGTGTGCTTTAGATAATTATTTGTAATGTAATCATTATTCATGTTGCATGGAAATTCAGCAGTTGTTAATTTTCATTCGATGTGGTAATTCTAGATATACGATGTCATGAGAAAACTGACTGCGGTATGTATTAATTTATTTCAGCTATGACGATTTTACAAATCTGACCAATACGAACCCAAGCCTGAAGACACTCATAATGGTATCGGAGGATACCAAGGGAATGGAGATAAGTGCAATGGCAGAAAACAGTACTTATCGAAACTTGTTTGCCTCATCTTGCATACAATTCTGTAGGAAACATGGGTTTGATGGCTTAGTTTTGCAATGGACAGTGCCCAACGGTAACGACTTCCGACTGTTGAGCGAGGTAGGAATTTCAGGAGTGCTGTCTTCAATATATCAGCAGCTTGAGTTGTATTCGAATCTCTCTGAAAAGTGATCAAAGATTTCTTTTGATATGACAAAGCACACAGATGAAGAATAAAAAAGCCCTACAACATAAGTCACACTTAATTGATACCAACAGACGACGGAAAATTGACATTAGACACACTTCATTGTTACCAAACAGACGACGGAACACTGACATTAGGCACACTTCATTGTTACCAAACAGACGACGGAACATTGACATTACGCAAACTTTATTGTTATCAAACAGACGACGGAACACTGACATTAGGCACACTTTATTGTTACCAAACAGACGACGGAACACTGACATTAGACACACTTCATTGTTACCAAACAGACGACGGAACATTGACATTACGCAAACTTTATTGTTATCAAACAGACGACGGAACACTGACATTAGACACACTTCATTGTTACCAAACAGACGACGGAACACTGACATTAGACGTTATTGTAACCATACCGACGACGGAACACTGACATTAGGCACACTTCATTGTTACCAAACAGACGACGGAACACTGACATTAGACACATGTTATTGTTACCAAACAGACAACGGCACACTGTCATTAGACACACTTCATTGTTCACTGTATTTAATTCACCGAATCAGTTCTTAACGGACGCTACATGAATTATGTTATCAAAAATTCTTTTCTTAAAACATTACAGGATCTCAGAGCGGCATTCCAAGCTGAAAACACATCTGTTCCACTGCTTCTTGTTGCTCAGCTTGCTGGAGACACGATTGACAACATAAACACCTACTACGATATAAACACACTCAAATCAACCATCGAGTATGTCATTTATCTTCAGTTAACCTTCACACCATGATAGGAAGACCTGACCAATATAACCTTTACTATCAATAGACTGGTTCCATATACCCTACCCGAGCAATAGGTGAACCTGTCCAATATACCCTTTCCGATTAACAGACTCATCTGCTCAAACTTATCACTACAGTTTTACTTTGTGATAATCGAGACATCATATAATTTCGTTCTTATCTTAACGCCATACGCTCTTTGTCCTAATCTTAACACCATGTATTCTTTGTCCTAAACCTAACACCGTAACTCACCATCCTAATGTTAACCACTTGTATTTTTTTGTGCCAATCTAAACACCATAATTTTATATCCTAATCTAACCTTAGTATTCTTTGTACTAATTTAAACAGTACGCCTGTTGTTTGTGCTTATCCTACTACCAGATATAGGGAGTGCTTATCTTAACAATACACTTGAGTTTTGTGCTAGTTTTGATACTAAACCTGCATTTGGTGCTAATTTGAATATCATTTCTGGATTTGGTATCCTAATCTGAATAGCAAACTTGTACCATGCGCTAACATTAACATCACATATGTTTTATGTGCTAACCTTAACACACATCTGTTTTATGTGCTAACCTTAGCATCACACCTGTTCTATGTGTTAACCTTAACATCACATCTATTCTCTGTGTTAACCTTACATCTGTTTTATGTGTTAACCTTAACACACATCTGGTCTATGTGCTAACCTTAACATTACACCTGTTCTATGTGTTAACCTTAACACACATCTGGTCTATGTGCTAACCTTAGCATCACACCTGTTCTATGTGTTAACCTTAACACACATCTGGTCTATGTGCTAACCTTAACATTACACCTGTTCTATGTGTTAACCTTACACCTGTTCTATGTGTTAACCTTAACACACATCTGGTCTATGTGCTAACCTTAACATTACACCTGTTCTATGTGTTAACCTTAACGTTACACCAGGTCTTTGTGTTAACTTTAACATTACACATGTTGTAAGTGCTAACCTTAATATCACACTTATGCCATGTGCTAATCCTAACTTTGTATACATATACTATGTGTTAATCTTAACACAACACATGTCATTTGTGCTTAACTTTGCACTCCACCTGTACTGTGTGCTAAGCTTAGCGTTATATCTACTTTGTGCCAGAGACAATGGCTGTAATGGCTTTGTTATTATTACACATGTACTTGTATCTAACAAAGAATTTCTCTGATATTCCACTTTTGTATCTTATTTTCAACACAGAACAAACTACGACTTCGTCAATCTGCACACCTTCAGTTTGTATGACTCTTCGCCTGTAACTGCTCATCACAGTCGCCTTCGCGAAAGAGATGGATCTATCGGAGCGGACAAGTTTCTCAACATAGTATAACAATGACTTCTTTTCTGTCTGATTTAATGTTGTTTTACACGCGTTTTTATTACTTTTATGTATGTTTTGACCGCATATGCTCTTACTTCCCTTACAGAAAGCTATTGCTGAATATTATGTTTTCCTTGGAATTCCGAAATCGATGATAAATGTCGGAATCGCAACGTATGGGAGAGGTTTTACCTTAGCATCCAACAATAACACCAGCGTTGGAGATGCAGTCACAGGCGACAGTACTGCAGGAAATCTTTCAGACCTAGTTGGCTTCATGTCATACTACGAGGTACGTCAATATCACGTTTGTTTATAGGACAGATGGATACGTAAAAACTTAAAAGAGTGTATGTCATAATGTATTATACAGTCTCTTTAACAATATTTAACAATACACATGTACCACCTGTCCATAAAAAGTCTTCAAAGAACTTTGTTATCTGTAGCATATACACACGTGGTGTTATCTGTAGTATATACACACGTGGTGTTATCTGTAGTATATACACACGTGGTGTTATCTGTAGTATATACACACGTGGTGTTATCTGTAGTATATACACGTGGTGTTATCTGTAGTATATACACGTGGTGTTATCTGTAGTATATACACGTGGTGTTATCTGTAGTATATACATACGTGGTGTTATCTGTATTTTATACACGTGGTGTTATCTGTAGTATATACACGTGGTGTTATCTGTAGTATATACACACGTGGTGTTATCTGTAGTATATACACACGTGGTGTTATCTGTAGTATATACACGTGGTGTTATCTGTAGTATATACCCACGTGGTGTTATCTGTAGTATATACACGTGGTGTTATCTGTAGTATATACACACGTGGTGTTATCTGTAGTATATACACACGTGGTGTTGTCTGTAGTATATACACGTGGTGTTGTCTGTAGTATATACTCGTGGTGTTATCTGTAGTATATACACGTGGTGTTATCTGTAGTATATACACGTGGTGTTATCTGTAGTATATACACACGTGGTGTTATCTGTAGTATATACACACGTGGTGTTATCTGTAGTATATACACACGTGGTGTTATCTGTAGTATATACACGTCGTGTTATCTGTAGTATATACACACGTGGTGTTATCTGTAGTATTTACACGTGGTGTTATCTGTAGTATATACACACGTGGTGTTATCTGTAGTATATACACGTGGTGTTATCTGTAGTATATACACACGTGGTGTTATCTGTAGTATATACACACGTGGTGTTATCTGTAGTATATACACGTGGTGTTATCTGTAGTATATACACGTCGTGTTATCTGTAATATATACACGTGGTGTTATCTGTAGTATATACACGTGGTACGTGAAGCTATGCAAACAAAACCAAAACAGGATTACGACGTTTAATTTTCCTGTCAGCAAGTTCAAATCTGAAAACAGCAGTAACAATTTAGTCCTTCCTTTCACTATTAATATTTATAGCATGAAATAGTAGAGTCACAAATTTGTGTCACTATAAACAGTGATTGTATGAAATATTATAGTCAGAAATCGGTGTCACCATAAACTTGATTTTTCATATAAAAGTGTAAATTCTCGCATTTGCATTAGTATTTGTGTCCAATACTCATTCATAAATATATATATTTAAAAGAGAACCAAGAAGTAATAATGACATTTTATTTTTAATTTCAGATTTGTTACGCTATTCAAAACGGCGATGGCACAGGGTATAGTGATTATGGTGAGCCTTACTACGTTCAAGATTCTCAGTGGATCGGCTATGATGATGTTAATAGCGTAAGGGAGAAGGTATGTTAATGTTGGATACATGTTCACCTCTTGTGACAAAATCTGCTTCAGTTTTCGAATCAGGTCTAGTTACTTTTTATGAAAGAGACATATATATCCATATGTTGTGTATGAGTAGTCTATCGGAGGAAAAAAGAAACTGTAATTTGTAAATAAAACCGAGCTTTTGTAATAAACCCGAACAGTAAATGCGATGAACCTGAACAGTGGACGTAATGAACCCGAACAGTAAATGTGTTCTACCTGATTGGTGGAGGTAATGAACCCGAACTGTAAACGTTATGAACCTGAACAGTGGAGGTAATGAACCCGAACTGTAAACGTTATGAACCTGAACAGTGGAGGTAATGAACCCGAACTGTAAACGTTATGAACCTGAACAGTGGAGGTAATGAACCCGAACTGTAAACGTTATGAACCTGAACAGTGGAGGTAATGAACCCGAACTGTAAACGTTATGAACCTGAACAGTGGAGGTAATGAACCCGAACAGTAAATGCGATGAACCTGAACAGTGGACGTAATGAAACCGAACAGTAAATGTGTTCTACCTGATTGGTGGAGGTAATGAACCCGAACTGTAAACGTTATGAACCTGAACAGTGGAGGTAATGAACCCGAACTGTAAACGTTATGAACCTGAACAGTGGAGGTAATGAACCCGAACTGTAAACGTTATGAACCTGAACAGTGGAGGTAATGAACCTGTACAGTGGAGGTAATGAACCTGTACAGTGGAGGTAATGAACCCGAACTGTAAACGTTATGAACCTGAACAGTGGAGGTAATGAACCCGAACTGTAAACATTATGAACCTGAACAGTGGAGGTAATGAACCCGAACTGTAAACGTTATGAACATGAACAGTGGAGGTAATGAACCCGAACTTTAAACGTTATGAACCTGAACAGTGGAGGTAATGAACCTGTACAGTGGAGGTAATGAACCCGAACTGTAAACGTTATGAACCTGAACAGTGGAGTTACTTTTAAATATAATGAACCCGAACTGTAAACATTATGAACCTGAACAGTGGAGGTAATGAACCCGAACTGTAAACGTTATGAACATGAACAGTGGAGGTAAAAACCCGAACTTTAAACGTTATGAACCTGAATAGTGGAGGTAATGAACCTGTACAGTGGAGGTAATGAACCCGAACTGTAAACGTTATGAACCTGAACAGTGGAGGTAATGAACCCGAACTGTAAACGTTATGAACCTGAAAAGTGGAGGTAATGAACCCGAACAGTAAATGCGATGAACCTGAACAGTGGACGTAATGACACCGAACAGTAAATGTGTTCTACCTGATTGGTGGAGGTAATGAACCCGAACTGTAAACGTTATGAACCTGAACAGTGGAGGTAATGAACCCGAACTGTAAACGTTATGAACCTGAACAGTGGAGGTAATGAACCCGAACTGTAAACGTTATGAACCTGAACAGTGGAGGTAATGAACCTGTACAGTGGAGGTAATGAACCTGTACAGTGGAGGTAATGAACCCGAACTGTAAACGTTATGAACCTGAACAGTGGAGGTAATGAACCCGAACTGTAAACATTATGAACCTGAACAGTGGAGGTAATGAACCCGAACTGTAAACGTTATGAACCTGAACAGTGGAGGTAATGAACCCGAACTTTAAACGTTATGAACCTGAACAGTGGAGGTAATGAACCTGTACAGTGGAGGTAATGAACCCGAACTGTAAACGTTATGAACCTGAACAGTGGAGGTAATGAACCCGAACTGTAAACGTTATGAACCTGAAAAGTGGAGTTAATGAACCCGAACTGTAAACGTTATGAACATGAACAGTGGAGGTAATGAACCCGAACTGTAAACGTTATGAACATGAACAGTGGAGGTAATGAATTCGAATCAGTAATGAAGTGCCCGTTAAGTAGCAATACTCACATAACCTAGGAAATGGTAATATGAAAAACATCTCACCAATACGTTATAAAAATGATGACGTTATTGTGGAACTACTTCCTGTTTACTTCCTGCAGCTGACAAACTTTCACGCGAAATTGGAATCAACTGCTTTGCTATTCCATCAATGGTCAGGCTGTTCCGTTAGTGCGTATAACATCAAAAGAAAGACGATTATTGTTTTTTTAAGGAACAATATCAAAGTGAAAAAATGTCTTCAAAATGTAAAGATTGATTGTTTTTACTTTGTCTTTTTGTTGTTTCCTGGTGACTGGTGTGTAAACTATATTTTAACAGACATTTCAATACAATGCATTAACTCATTAATGAAATTTTATATGAATTATATACGTAAGAACTAAGACGTTTCTTTAAGAATATATGGGTTAACATATATAATCTTTGTAATGACAATGACAAGTCTAAGCAACAAGATCTCTATGCAATACCAAGGATACAAGGGTTTTACAAGTTTAACTGACGGAAAGTATCTGTTATCATTAAATAGACGTTAAAAGCTTGTATCATCCCTGTAGCATGCTTGTTAATTCATTTTCCAAATTCATTCTTTTCTTACTATTTCTTGACTTAAGGACATGTCTAATGCGTATGTGTGTTAACAGGCGGAATGGGTGGTTGGCCAAGAATACGGTGGCATTTCAATGTTTTCGCTCACTTTCGACGATTACAGCCAATACTGCAACATTTCTGATGTCAGCTTCCCACTAATCAACACCATTAAAGATGTATATACCGAAGAAAGCACTCCAAAACGTGAGTTACATATTTTTTTTATAAGGTTACGAGTTTCGATGTAATCCATTATTTGAAAACATTTGCAATTGAAATCGCAACAAAACTCTTACAAAATTATATATGTAAATTTGATGATTGTTTTTTCTAGTGTTCCGACGAGTATGTTATGTGAGCACATGGTCGGAAGATCGTCCTGGAGATGGGCAGTTCCAGGCCCAGGACATCGACCCGTTTCTTTGTACTCATATTATTGTAGCGTTTGCCAAAGTATCTGATGATAACACTCTTGAGCCAGTTGGCTCGAACTACACCGGCATGTAAGTTTATACTGTTTGATGGCGAAACTTTACATTATGATTAACTACGTTTACTTTCTATCGGCCTCAAGTTGTTGTATCTTAATATGCAATAACCGACACTTTCAGTAGCCAGTTTATAGGTAAACGTGTTCATTACTGCACAACAAAAACATACACATTGACGAGAAGCCAAAAAGTATCAAACTTGTTTTAGAAACAACGAAACAGACCATATTATTTAAATGTGTGATTTTTCTGTATCATAAGTGAAGTGGATTGCATTGTGTTTCCCGCCTCCTGGGTACAGTTTGTAAAAACACTGAGTACTATATTACCATTACGTAGTAAGTGGTATTCTGTTGAAAGAGGAGGTGGTATATTATAACACTATGTTACATCAGGTGGTATATCATAACACTATGTTACATCAGGTGGTATATCATAACACTATGTTACATCAGGTGGTATATTATAACACTATGTTACATCAGGTGGTATATCATAACACTATGTTACATCAGGTGGTATATCATAACACTATGTTACATCAGGTGGTATATTATAACACTATGTTACATCAGGTGGTATATTATAACAATATGTTACATCAGGTGGTATATTATAACACTATGTTACATCAGGTGGTATATTATAACACTATGCTACATCAGGTGGTTTATTATAACACTATGTTACATCAGGTGGTATATTATAACACTATGTTACATCAGGTGGTATATTATAACACTATGTTACATCAGGTGGTATATTATAACACTATGTTACATCAGGTGGTATATTATAACACTATGTTACATCAGGTGGTATATTATAACACTATGTTACATCAAGTGGTATATAATAACACTATGTTACATCAGGTGGTATGTTGTAATTGCAGTACACATCAGGTGGTATATTGTGATTCAGTTAAAGTGTATACTGTAAAACTATTGCAATAGACGCGTTAATTTAATTTGATTAATAACAAATACAATAACTTTACCAAACAAATAACACTGATCTGCATATGGGATATCATAAAACTATTATATAGTAAGTGATATATTGTAATAGTATTACACAGTACGTGATATATTGTAATAGTACTACACAGTACGTAATATATTGTAAAAGTATTACACAGTAAGTGATATATAGTAATAGTATAACACAGTAAGTGATATATTGTAATAGTATAACACAGTAAGTGATATATTGTAAAAGTATTACACAGTAAGTGATATATAGTAATAGTATAACACAGTAAGTGATATATATAGTATAACACAGCAAGTGATATATTGTAAAAGTATTACACAGTAAGTGATATATAGTAATAGTATAACACAGTAAGTGATATATAGTAATAGTATTACACAGTAAGTGATATATTGTAATAGTATTACACAGTAAGTGATATATTGTAATAGTATTACACAGTAAGTGATATATTGTAATAGTATTACACAATATATAATACACAATGGTATATTATCATAGTTTGCTGTATTATATAACAAAACTTTAAATCTATTAATGTAATTCCTGTAATAAATGACAGATACGATAGTGTTACCGCACTTCGAACAAATAACACTGATCTGAAGGTGTTGATATCCGTGGGAGGATGGGAGCAAGGCAGTGAGAGTTTTTCTTTCATGGTTTCACGACCTAAGAGGAGGAGGTCCTTTGTTAGCTCAGCCATACAATTTATGAAAGATTATGGATTCGACGGCATTGATTTAGCATGGTTGTACCCAGCTCAAAGGTCAGGATCTAACGAAGAAACCGACAAGAAAAACTTTGCAACTCTTGTTCAGGTAAGCTGAATTTGATTATAATCACTATATGTAAGATTAATGGCAAAGTTAACTAAAAACAAATAATTAACATGAAATTGCATTCTGTTGAATATTACATGTATTTTTTATTCAAAGAAGACACCATGACTTGCGTTGCGAATAAGACATTAAAGGGTCTTTCAGTATTGCAATTAATATCACTACCTATTAGCTGTTTACTCAGGAGAAAGTTTTGAACGGACTTGGTTATATAGTGGCACGAGTGGACAGACAGGGGACCATGTGGACAGACGGAGCCACGAGGAGAGACAGGGATGCGTGGACAGACGATAGGGAGGGGAGGGGCTTAGCGTGAACACACAACGGGCCACTCCGACAGACATTCACTTAGAAAGTTGTGAACAGACTTGGATAGATAGGGGCACGAGTGGACAGACAAGGGGACCATGTGGACAGACAGGGGATCACGTGGACAGACATAGTCTCGTTTAGATAGGCGGTCGTTTATATCGACAGACAAGGAGCAACTCGGATAGAAGGGATATTGCATGAATGGACGATTGAAGGTTTTGTGGCTCGTGTGAACAGACGGGTGCACTTGCACCGAAAAGGACAAGAGGACAGACAGAGGATCACGCTAAAATAGGACTTAACGTGGAATTAACAGGCAACTTGTGAAGTGGACAGACAGGATGTGGCGTGGACAGACACGGGCCATGGAAAGACTGAGGGCATGTGAACAGACAGGGTATCGCAAAGAAAGGACAGAGGGGCTTTGCATGTTTGGATACATGGACAGACAGGGGGATCACATGAATATGGAATTGATCATTTTTAACTCGTATCTCATTTTCTACTCATTTAACCCCTAATGCTAAATCTAAATTTTACTGACAATGACCTGATGACATCTACTTCACGGTACAATGACCCGATGATCTACTTCATTATGCACTTACCTCATGATATACACAATAATGGCGTAATAATTTTTAGATATTTTAACTAAACATTTTTCCAATTGCATTTGAGGTATCATTTAATTACCGCATCACAAATACTGTTGTAAAACGACATGAAATTTTGACAGATAATAACAAAAATTTACGTCATTTTACAGTTTGACTTTGATTTGGTTCACATTTAAAGAACCGAACTCTTTGTTTATGATGTCTTGATCACGTGACCATTTCGTTATACTATGATACACTTCCGGAGTTATATTAAAGGGTGAGCCGGTTGTTTGTTGTGTTTTGTGATGGAAAATCAAATCAAATCAAGATCTACGTTAAATATCGGAATCAGGACAGTATTTTCAATAGTATGATTTATTTTAACTGACATTTTGAATAAAGCATATATATATATATATGTATTGTGCAGAAAACATATACTTCATGAGCAAGGCATCCGGCATATTTACTTAAATTAAAAACTTTCTCAAGGATATCACTATATACACTGGTTTTCAGGATATACATTGATTGGCCGGTGTGCATAGTGCAAATCCGTGTTATAGTATGGTGAAAACCGGGCGGGCGGGCGGGGAAAAGGGGTACCAGTTTTGTAGAATCAACTCCTCCTAGAGTTTTTTCTGTAGAAGCTTGATAATTTGTAGGGTGTATATATATATGTTGAAAATGTGCACCTCCTATCATGGATTCATTCCAGACATTTTCCTGGATTTTCCAGGCTTTGTAACTTAGTCATTTTCAACAGTCTGGCGAGGAAAATCCAAGATGGCAGCCTTTGCCTCTCATTGGTTGAGATGTTGTTTTGAGCGTAATAGCCTCTCATTGGCTGAAACGTTGTTTTGAGCACGATATATAACATTGCACTCATCCAGCAACCAGGCCAATTGTGGCTTTGTCCTAATTTTTTTTTATCTAACTAGGGTCCTTATGGTGTTTGGTTAAAATAATCTGCAATGACAGTATTGAAAGAGGATTTCGGACAAGGAATACATGTGTCTTATTTTATGCCAGAATAATCTGGATGTTCTTATACATGAGTGCTTGCTTTCAACACTGAATATAACAATATTTTATACTATGAATGTCTTTCCTCAGTAAATATACAAAAGCTTGGCTGTCATTGGTTCATCACCTTTCTCCTGAAAATATTGATCAAATACATGATGTCGTACACTGTAACGATGATTTGATTAATAACTAGTTGAATGAGCTGTATCGGAGATATATCTTTAATTGAAGTAATATTTATCTTCGTGATTTTTCCAGTTATTTAGGAGTGAAATTGATGCGGAGTCGATTTCTTTGCTGTTGTCTGCTGCGGTGGCTGCGGAGCAGAGCCACATTGACTATGCTTATGATGTGAAATCCCTGGCAGAGTAAGGCATTCATACTCCGAATTCATTCTTTGATTCGTATTTGATGTGGACATTTTAAAGCTTCATAAATCGAGTTAACGACATAAGTAAGAAGCTCATTAATTCAAGTAATTGAATGTCATTTCCTAATTATTACAGAAATGTAGATTTCCTTAATATCCAGACGTTTGACATGCATGGTTTTTGGGATGGAGTTACAGGGCATCACAGTCAGCTGAGACCCTTTCCGTATCAAACTGGAACCGATGCCAATCTAAACTATGTAAGAAAATAAACTACTCTCACACACGTTGAAAACAATTGAATTATTTAGTAAATTGATCCAATTTTATGACAAGGAACCATTGTGTTAAAGACATGAATGAAGTTGAATGACATAATAAAGCGTTTGTAAACACTGACCAGAGCATGTGATCTTCGCCGAATCATTAACAGAACATTTACTCTTTAGATTTGGTCAGCGGATTATTGGGAAATGCGTGGAGTCGATAAACAAAAAATAAACATAGGTGTCGCCACCTTCGGACGTGGTTTTAATGTGTCTGACGAAAATATGGGAGCAGCGGTCGGATTGCCTATTGAAGGGCCAAGCCTGAAGGCACCATTCACAGAAGAGGAAGGTTTCATGGCCTACTATGAGGTAATTAAACAACTTTATTGACACATCATTTTGATGTTAAGATAAACATGTAATGTTATCAGTGACATATTAACACGTCAATATTTTGCATTGTAGCTTTGTGATTTACCAGCACAAGTCGCAGATCTAGGAGATGCAATTATTAAGTACGGTTCGAATAACCTATGGATTGGATACGATGACCCAGCTGTTATCGTTCGAAAGGTAGGCATTTTCACTTTAAATCGCATAGGCAAATCGTATATATGATGCTATTTCCGATCTATCAAGACAGTATGAAAATCAGATACCGTCTGTTTGTACAGATAAGTATTTTTCTTTTGAAATTCCAAATACCCTAGGTGACACGTCAGTTTGTTTAAAACAAAGCGTGGTGCAGTTCGGAAGCATGAAAGCACCAAAATGAAGAGTTGCAGTGGTTTGTCTTTTACTTATATAGAAAACAGTAAAGTGTTAAGGGGGAGTGAGTTGCAGTATCTAGGAGAGGAATAAGTGTAGAGATAACACTGTATCTAGAGGGGGATGTGTTGTAGAGATAGTACTGTATCTAGAGGGGGATGTGTTGTAGAGATAGTACTGTATCTAGAGGGGGATGTGTTGTAGAGATAACACTGTATCTAGAGGGGGACGTGTTGTAGAGATAGTACTGTATCTAGAGGGGGATGTGTTGTAGAGATAGTACTGTATCTAGAGGGGGATGTGTTGTAGAGATAGTACTGTATCTAGAGGGGGATGTGTTGTAGAGATAGTACTGTATCTAGAGGGGGATGTGTTGTAGAGATAGTACTGTATCTAGAGGGGGATGTGTTGTAGAGATAGTACTGTATCTAGAGGGGGATGTGTTGCAGAGAGAGTACTGTATCTAGAGGGGGATATGTTGTAGAGATAGTACTGTATCTAGAGGGGGATATGTTGCAGAGATAGTACTGTATCTAGAGGGGGATATGTTGCAGAGATAGTACTGTATCTAGAGGGGGATATGTTGTAGAGATAGTACTGTATCTAGAGGGGGCATGTTGTAGAGATAGAACTGTATCTAGAGGGGATATGTTGTAGAGATAGTACTATATCTAGATGGGGATATGTTGTAGAGATAGAACTGTATCTAGATGGGGATATGTTGTAGAGATAGTACGGTATCAAATAGGGGGATATGTTGATGAGATGGAACAGATCTAGGAGAGGAAGTATGTGTAGTGCTGGTGCAGTGTCCTTGAGAAGAGTAAGGATGCGATGAGAGTACAGCATCAAGGAAGGAAAGTTTGTTATCTCGCAGAGAAAATGTGAAAATATTCATGGCACAATATCTAGGAAAGGAAGGTGTGTTGTAATAATGGTATGGTATCAAGGATTGAATTACATAAACGTTATGAATTCAATTTCCCTATTGAGAATTTTACATTTCTGGATAGCAACATTCTTGCTTCCAAAACGTATGGTGTTAACACCTCGCAGTTAAATCAATTTTTCATGGCCTATTCCTTTTATTACGAACTTTTGTGCAAGAAATCGTCATCTGACGAACAAACTCGTAATATAGGTTTCAAAAAATGTAGGTTTCTGAAGTTATGGGGAAGATTGTTAAAGTGATTTAATCGGGAAATATTCTTTTTGTTTGTGCGATTTGGACGTGTTTGATGTTCGTTAGTTTGCCTGTTGGTTCAGTTGTTGTATACCTTGTTCTCATTTAAGGCTGTGACATCACTTATTTGGATTGACGCTTACTTGCTTCCCTTGTACTTTTTCAGGAGTCTCCGTGTAAAATCTTTCTTTTGTTCAAATTTTGCCATTGTTTTTATTGACTTTGAGTTTGGATTATGGTTATGCTGATGTGTTTGTGTCCTTGTTGTTTCATGTTGTAGTGATTGTACAATATCTCGAAAGAAAGTATGTATAGATGATAATACGTTGTCTAGGAGAAGAAGTATTCAACAATTTCTGGTACCGTCCTTTGCTGTTCTATTTCTCATTTGTTGCCCTTGCCAACTGGTTTTCAAACCAATGTATTGATACAATGAAGTAAAATAAGAATTATGTGTTTACAGATGTTGTGGCTGATAAGCGAGGATTACGGTGGAGTAATGGTTTGGTCTTTGGACTTGGATGACTTTAGAGGAAACTGTTCCCTTTCCACTGGACCATATCCTCTCCTTAACGCAGTAAAGGATACCTTAATCAATTATGCTGATGGCGATTTCCCAGATCCTCTTCCAGTTCCAACAACGTCTTTTGACACGACAACAATGACAGAGACAACCACGCCAATTCCGACCACTACGCAGGAAGGTAAATATACTTATATCTAGAAGCTGGTACACTGTCTGACAACTACACAGAAAGGTAAGAACACTATATCTAGAAGCTGGTAACACTGTCTGACAACTACACAGAAAGGTAAGAACACTATATCTAGAAGCTGGTAACACAATCCAACAATAGTAAAGGAAGATAAGAGTGTAGTACCTGAAAGCGCATTCCGACAATTGCAATCTGTTTCAGAAAAAGGTTTAAAATCTTCACGGTATTTGCTTCAAACGCTACATGGAATGAATATGTAATTTGCTGTAGAGTTACAAAGAAAATATGTAATTTAATGTAGAGATAAAGAACGATAACATGATACGTTTAAAGATGCATGTAACACCTATATTATCTATTTCAAAGTATGAAGACAAATAACGTAATAAGGTGACAAAGCCTATTAGAAGATCAAGAACGATGATGCAATCGCTTTGATAAAGTTTATTGAAATCATTTTTGATAAATATTTTCATTACACAGACTTCATCGATTGTAATAATTCTACAACCGGAGGACCATACCCGAATCCAAACGACTGCAGAACGTTCTACAAATGTGTCGATGGAGTATCCCATCTGTACAATTGCCCAGGGAACACATCATATGACCGTGCCCACAGAGTGTGCAACTATGATCGTTTTACAAACTGTTGAAGACTACAAATCTACATTCTTAGGACATATTATTATTAATAAAAGGCACATCTATAAACCTACTGCAGATTTGCATGTGACATGCTTAGATTATTGTGATGACCACGATGTTTTATGTGTGAACAAATCAATAAAAGTGTTTTACAAGCGTCATCTGTCATCTTATACAATATGTAATGTTTGAAATGTCATATTAGGAACAAAGTATCTTTGATCAAAAAAGCAAAGAACATATAAAAGAGTCCATATATTCTGGATGCAAACTTGTTGAAATTAGGGGAAAATCTGAACAAAAGAAAGACTTGTACGAATATCCATAAAACAAGTTGAAGGCGTCTTCTGTTTCATCGATAACCGCGCATAAGAAAAGCGTTCAGCTTCATATTGCAAAAATGAATTATTTCCCATTGATATAATTATGACAACCAGATATCTTTCTCATAATTTGAATCACCCTTGGATATCGAATCAATGTATAACCATGTCCCTACCTATAAATGGAAAAAATACGATAGGGGGATTAAAATATTACAACTGAATGGAAAAGTTTCCCTATTATTTGTAGGAAACGATTAACGTAGTTGACCGATGTAGAAAAAAAGAGAGAAAATAAATGGCAACATCTTCATAATTCAAACTCAACTTCTTCCATAAAACTAGGGCAAAATTTGAACAAAAGAAATATTTACACAGAGACTTCTAAAAATTGCAAGGAAAATAACTCCAGGTGTTCCGGAAGAGCAAGTGTATTTTGCTTCATCGACGACGCCCACCATGTAAATCATGGTCAATACAAGTAAAAAAATGTCACCAACAGGCGATCTAACGAGCAACAAATACGTCCAGCGTCATGTCACACAAAGAAATATAATATTTCTCAATGCGACCACAAATCTTTCCAATAATTTTCATCAACCTGCATCTTTTGAACCGTTGTTTGGCAGTCAGTTGACGACTTCTTGCACGACAATCGCGATAATGGGACCAGGTCCATACGTTTGATATCAAATCAACTGTGACATACCATAGGTTGAGGATACAGGAATATTTCTATCCAGAAATGGGAAATTCACAACAGGAAAATTGAATTCATCACGTTTATTATACGGGTTGATGGAAAGTTGTCCATGTTGGCTTCGTTGTAAGAAAAGATCGAGATAGAACAGCCTGTCATATATTTTATTCCCAGTTCTGGTGGATTTACGATGGACATGGTCATTAAATTTCTTGTTATTCAAAGACAAGGCATCATCAACATATCTGAAGGTGAAAGTAGACGACTTTGCAAGGTTTTTGTTACCTGTTTTGATAAGCTTTTAAATAAATTCAACCTCGAACGAAAACAAAAACAAGCCAGCCAACAAAAGGGTGTAGTCGATCCCCATAGGTATGCAAATATCTTAAGGAAAATCTTATCACTGAACCCGAAAAAGTTGTTGTCAACCAGAATGATTTTCTATATTTCTTTGATTTGGATGTAAATTTTACGAAACACGCTTCAGGATAGTTTACAACCATACATTTATACCGCCGTTCACCTTTCTTGAAGAAGAAGCTCTCATAACAAGAGAACGAAGGGGTTCCTTCAGTTTTAAATTGGGTACGGTGGTGTACAGGGTGGGGAAATCTTCATATAGAAGAAATGTTTTCAGAAGAAAGAGTTGAAGATTGGTCAAAGGCTCTTTGGAGTTCATCAAAATCCACATACTATCAATTCCACTTCTTGAGCAAACAGTATTACAATAAAACCCAAATTTAATAGTTCATAGAATGGTGGTTAGTATTCTAGACAAAGGCTTGGTTGAACAGTTAGACAGAGCCAGCTATGAAACATTGTTTATAAAACAGTTTAGAAAACTAGACCATGTCCTTGATTTCCAGTCCTAGTGGGTAAATGTGATAGACATGATAAATCTGATTCCTGTTATTAAAGACAAGACGTGATCAATATCTCTAAACTTGAAATTGTTTTGATAAGCTCTCTTAGTAAGATAACAAAATGTCAGCCAAGAGAGGGACACAGTTTGTTCCCATAGTATGCCAATAGTCTGTTGGTAGGTCATACCACCGGTCTTGACGAAGATATGTATTCATCCCTTTTCAGTACAGTTGACAACGAGTTTAGAATGAGGTATGTTAGTGTACAGGGAGGGAAAATGTTTTCTGGAAGGGGGTGTTGAAGAATGATCAAAAGATCTTTTGCGTTCTTTAAAAAGATATACAATTGATTCCACTTATTGAGCAAACAGTATCACATTCAGGCTGTCACTTTCGTCAGAATTTTAATGTAGGAAGCATGGTTACTGAAAATTCTACAGACGAATTTTATCGCACCTGTATCTCTTTTTTTCGAAAAACGGATATTGTTGTATAAAGGTAATTCATTCTTTTGTATGTTACCTAGGCATACTTATACTAACGTTGCTCTAAATTGTGAAAACAGTAGACAGACAGACCTGAAATCCTGGTCAATGAAGACAATGAAGAGGCGGAGGAAAACGTAAAGGACGATGTCTATTTTATGTATCATTACAATGGAGGAAGCGGCATGTAAAATCACTGCAGCTGCCATATCTAGAAACAGTTTCATGATTAATTCCTACCTTTTAATAACGTTACATAATGAATATTGTTATAGTCTATTCTCTATCACTTTCTTCTAATAACGTTACATAATGCATATTGTTATAGTCTATTCTCTATTGCTTTCTTCTAATAACGTTACATAATGTATATTGTTATAGTCTATTCTCTATTACTTTCTTCTAATAACGTTACATAATGCATATTGTTATAGTCTATTCTCTATTACTTTCTTCTAATAATGTTACATAATGCATATTGTTATAGTCTATTATCTATTACTTTCTTCTAATAACTTTACATAACGCACAATGTTTTAGTCTATTCTTTATTACTTTCTTCTAATAACTTTACATAATGCATATTGTTATAGTCTATTCTCTATTACTTTCTTCTAATAACGTTACATAATGCATATTGTTATAGTCTATTCTCTATTACTTTCTTCTAATAATGTTACATAATGCATATTGTTATAGTCTATTCTCTATTACTTTCTTCTAATAACGTTACATAACGCACAATGTTTTAGTCTATTCTCTATTACTTTCTTCTAATAACTTTACATAATGCATATTGTTATAGTCTATTCTCTATTACTTTCTTCTAATAACGTTACATAATGCATATTGTTATAGTCTATTCTCTATTACTTTCTTCTAATAACGTTACATAATGCATATTGTTATAGTCTATTCTTTATTACTTTCTTCTAATAACTTTACATAACGCACAATGTTTTAGTCTATTCCCTATTACTTTCTTTTAATAACTTTACATAACGCACAATGTTTTAGTCTATTCTCTATTACTTTCTTTTAATAACGTTACATAACGCACAATGTTTTAGTCTATTCTCTATGACTTCATTCTAATAACGTTACATAATGCATATTGTTATAGTCTATTCTCTTTTACTTTCTTCTAATAACGTTACATAATGCATATTGTTATAGTCTATTCTCTATTACTTTCTTCTAATAACTTTACATAACGTACAATGTTTTAGTCTATTCTCTATTACTTTCTTTTAATAACTTTACATAACGCACAGTGTTTTAGTCTATTCTCTATCACTTTCTTTCAATAACGTTACATAACGCACAATGTTTTAGTCTATTCTCTATGACTTCATTCTAATAACGTTACATAATGCACATTGTTTTAGCCTATTCTCTATGACTTCCTTCTAATAATATAGATTGAAAACATGCTTTAAAGATTTAAAGAATCGTTATTTGGATCAAAGAGATGATGCCACTGTTCATACTTCTACGTAATAGGCTTACAATATAAAAGTGATTTTCTAAGATCGTTGATTCAAGAGTCCCACCTCAGCCACCGAGGATCTAACAGAGGTACGGAACAATGATGCTTCCGCAACTTCTGCAGCACCCTGCCGACCAAATTGAACGGAGGCATTGCATAGGCATCCCTTCAAAGTCCAGAGATAGAGCGTCCATGGCCCAAGCCTGCGGATCTGGAACCGGCGAAACCAAAGTTGGCAACTGATTGTCCAGAAAAGTTGGGAACAATCAGGTTTATGAGAGGCTTGTCCCGAACGTGACTGATTATCTTGAAAATCGAGGATATGCCGCCAATTCGTCAACACCGGTTGGTGGCGCCTGGAGAGAGTGTCAACTAAAACATTCAGTCTGCACGGAAGATGCTTTACCAGAGTAGTCAACTGCATATCGTGGCAGAAAAGGAGAATGCGGAAGGGGAAGGAGCACAGAACATGAAACCCTGGTGCTTCCCCTCTCTCGAGACCCTGTCATGCAGAAGAGTCGTCTAAACACCGGAATCTGATCCTGCGAGAAAATGACATGAACTTGAGAAGACAGGACCGCCGCCCTCCCGGGCAAGTTCGACGTCTGATGAGGCCAGGGATAGGATGAAGTCAGGAACCATTCTTCTTGCCCTCAGGCGGCTTCTTTACCTTCTTGCTCTTCCCCTTGTTGCCCTAGAAGCGAGGATTAAACTTCGGCTGTGCAGAAGACTGATCAGTCGAAGGTTTAGCACTCTCCTTATGTGGCGCTGACCCTTGCGAGATACTGGCCATCTCGGCCTGAATCCTCTTCGCCGAGTCCTCCTTCATATCCTCCTGTAAAGAAGGAAGGGTCCTGCAAAAAGTGTTATGCCAAAGAGGGAACAGTGAACAGGCGGGAAAAGTAAGGCTCTTCAACTGGGCATTTTTTTTACATAACAGAAAAATGCCTAGCCAACATGACATTGACGAGCAAGTAAGGTAACTCTGTCCTGAATGTCGGCCTGTTCTGTCTCCGACCCTCAGGTAGTTCGGATACCCGATATAAACATATCGTACGGTAGTCTATGTAAGACAGAATTTGGATGGAAAGACGCAGTATTCTTTTTTCCATCTTGTGGTGTTCTTTAAGCCCGAACACCACCTGGTC